TTGTTATGAAGCATAAGGATAGGTGGTCTAATGAATAATATCACAATCAATACAAAAGGTGCGAATGACATCTTGAATAAGTTCAAGTGCATTGTTTGTGTAAAGAACTTTAGGTGTGGTAGAATATTAGGTAACACTCTTAGTGATGAATTAAAAATATTGGTGATAAATTAACCTTAGGTGTGGTAGAATATTATGTAACATCTTAGTGAAAGAGATAAACTCAACACACGAGTGTAATCATTAATGAAAATGATATAATAGAGATATTTGGTGATGGAGGCAACTTGAGAGGATCTTCAAACATCATAATAAACAAGATTGAATGGAGCTGATGATGGAATACCATCACGACTAGAATAAGAGGAATGATGATGTTTGTCCAATTAACATGACTCACATACAAATTCATTAAAAGATAACCATAGTAAAACTTTCTAAAGTTTTGAAAATTTAGGATGACCTAAACGATGATGCCATAAAAGAGAAGAAATAGTAGTGAAAGTAATAAAAAGTGCTTGAATACCAGAGAAAGCTACATTCGAGATGAGTTAGTAAACACTTCGACCATTCTCACACCCCAAACTAATCCTCCGTTTGGTATGCAGATCATAGAAGACATAGTGGAAGGGAAAAATATAACAATGCAAAGTAGGGCATGAGTGATGTCACTGATAAATAAAAGGTTTGTAGGAAAATTGAGAACGTAAAAGACTTGGGTTAACAATAGGGTAGATAGAGGTCATAATGGGGGTGTCATGACCTTTGATCGAACAAATCTAATCATAAGCAATGTTCACCAAGGGGTGGGTCATGATGTGATGAAGTGAGGAAAGTATGGAAAGTGTACCAGTTATATGAGTGGAAGCCCTTGAGTCAAGAATTTAAGACATTGAGAAGACAAGTAAGGTATGTGTACCTAGCATGGTGGCTCTTGGCATAGATGCAAGGCTAGCAGAAGAAGACATATAAGGGGAGCGATCGTGGACCAGTTCCAAGCTTCATATTCTACTAGTATGAAAGTGACCTAAATCATAGAAGGAGATGTCGTGAAGTGAACTATGGATGTGGCTAATGCAAAAGAATCTGAATGAGTACTAGAGATAATAGTTTGAACCCACTCATCCTTGCCAAATTCCTTCTAGCAATTGTTTGACAGGTGACTTGACTTACCACTATAAGGGCATGATGAAAAGGCATTATGGCCTTTGCCTTTAGGAGGATGACCACTATCAAGCTTTGGACTATGACCACCATCTCGACCACGAGTAGATACAATTAGAGCCTATGAGCTTGATGTGACAACTGGTTGAGTGGTGCTCGATTGAGCAGGAGTCCCTATGCTCACACAAAGTGTGCAGAAAAAATCGATGAAAGGTCTGGCACACAATCACCTCAGATGATCTAACCACAAATCTACAAAGCAATGTCCATATGTAGACCACTAATACATACACTAGCATAAAACTCTTGACGATATTACTCAAAGATCCAAAGGTTAATGGTTGAAGTTGGTAAAGAGACAACTCTAGGATAATCGTTTGAAGTTGTCTAAAGTGTGTATAGAGTGAGAGATCATCTTGCTTACAAGTGAAGAGGTATGCCAACTAAGTCAGTTGTGCCATGATAGAGTACCAGAAGGGAAGGAGTGCTGACAGTGAAGGCACTTCGATAAGAAGTGGGACTATGGGCCGAGGTCCTTGAAGTGGAGAAGATACACTATCCTAGTCCATAATAATGACAAGAAATAACGTACCGATGCAAGCACAAAAATGTGTAGCAAGGGGCAGCACATAATAGGAGATAGCATGTGGCAAGAAGATAATGTGGCGAGAGATAGTGTAGTAAGAGATAATACCATGATATATCATAATGACAGATATCATGAGAATGGGAGGGGCTGTGGTGGCAAATGCCATGATGGTAAGGGCTGTGACAGCATGACCATGACAGTAAGGGGGTCGTGGCAGTAGGGCAAGTGTCAGCACATTTGTTGCATGCAATGCAATGACAGATTTTGATGGCGCAGTTGATGGTAGCATGCAATAGATGGCAGTGTGCAATAGAGTATGACACACAGAAAAAAAGAGGAGAGAACATAGAGGATGCAGTGGTGACAACTAGAAAGAATCCTAAGATTAGATTTAGTCCAAATGAAGAGATACATATTTATATAGGTAGGAGAAGAGAGAGAGATAAAGGGTTCAAGTCGGCCAAGTAAAGGAGGATGTCCAAACACCTTAACCACAACATAGATTTTAACTCTAGTTTTCTAGAATGTATAATTTGTTTCATTAAATATGGATAGTTTAGGATTATATAATTCAATTATATCACTAGTCATACGATCTATTCCTTGAGATGCTTAACTATCTACTAATCAATGCAGGCTTTTAAGAGGTGAAAGGGGTTAAATTACTTTTCTAAGTTTTTTATTTTATTATCATCTTTTACAAGTGCATGTATTAACACATATTCTCATGTAACTTCTTAGTTTTCTAATAGACTAATGACTTTATTTCTCTTTGTGTGGTTCTGACTTGTCACCATCAAGGAGATATAAGATTTTTATTTTGGTTTTCTCCTCTCTTTGTTACTTTCAATTTCAAAGGAACCTTTCTATCAGAGTTCACTATTTGTTCTAAAAAATAAATATTATTTTTACAAGATCATCAGCCCACTTTAATGGTACGTGATGTTGATCTATGGTACGTGGTGTTTTACTATCTACTTTTATATCGATTGCACCCTTCTTGGGCACAACTAGGCTTTCAACATTACGTACCTTAGCCCAAACCTCTCCACTTAGCACCCACATACCTTACGGCTTGAAGGATAGAGTTAACCTTCGAATCAAATCTTTGACTTGAATATAAGCTCATTCCAACCATGTTCAGCCATCCTTCCTAAACACCACACCACAACCTGATTCATAACCGCTCCTACCATTTCCTCTCCTTTACAGTCCCATGCAAGATTGGTGAATGTCCTCAAACACATTCTCATACTCTTCAGCTATGTTTGCCTCCTTTCATTATTTTCTCCTTGTTCATTGATGCTCAAAAGGAGGTCACTACTCAAGTTATGACGACAATCTTTCTTCTATACTTCTCCACTATCATTTGGAAGCCAACCTTGTCGTTCTTATGTCATTGCAGCCTTATTTGGACTCATAAAACTTTGATTTAGTGGCATAATTTCTTTCTATCAAAATGATAAAACTGTGACAAATATAAATCTCCAAATGTTAAATGCTCTCAATAAAAAAAAAGGTCCATGCATATAAAAATGCTTAATAAATTACATGGCATATTTGAATGCAATCATCAACTTCGAATAATCACATTTTCAACGACCTTCTTACTTATTTCATATGATGTGGTAACTTTGTTATCAACAAATCATTTAGAGCATAAGGTATAACATAATTTCCTACATGCTTATGGGATTAGGTGCATTGCAGGGAAAATACTATTTTGCCTATATATATACTCATTGGGATTTCATTACTATTTACGAACATGTAACAATTTAATTTCTATTTATTTAAATAGACTAGTGATATTACTTTAAATGAAAAAAATGCAATGGTTTTGCCTTTTAATTTACCAGTGGGATCAGTTCATCATTTAGGGGCTGTTCTTCATTTAGATATTTGGATTGCATTAACCAAATATTTTTATAACCTTTCCAAAGTAATACAAGATAAGGGCGAGGGAGAGTTAAGAGGGACTGAACAAGGGGTTCGACAGAGGAGCGTACCAAAATTGAACTGGTTTATGGAGATTTAACTGGAGGGAAGGACATGAAAAATTAATGTTTGTGGATAGAATACTCTCCAGCGGGTAGGTTTTGAAAAATCAGGTAGAGGGAGGGAACGGATAGTGTAGGTGGCGGCGGTAAGAGGGTTGTTGAGTGCACCGACCCTTTTTGGGTAGTTGTGGGTTGGGCTTAGTTTGCCCAGCTGGCACATTCGAGTGGGCTCCACAACAGCCCGCACAAATGGGTTCGGGTCGGTGAAGAGAAAATAATTTTAGTGGGACCGATAGTAGGCTTAGGGTCCATAATCATCCTTCTCCACTTATCATCCGCCAAGCCAATCGTCGTCTTAATTCCTCCCACTTTCTTTCTCTAGGTTTGCCCCCGGCGCTGCTGGCCGCCCTCCTCTGGGTGGCGGAGTGACCACCAGGCGGGCGGGCATCTGCGCCCAGAAACCGTAACCTCTGGCCTCACTCACCCCACCGCCATGCCAACCGACCTCTGCATGTCTTCTCACCCTGCCGTAGGTCGATGCCTTTTTTTGTTCAGTAACATCATCTCCGGCGGCATCTTCTCCCCTTCTCGGCGAGAGGAGATAGCTGCTGACTCCCTCCGAAGAGACCGGCTAGTTCTGCGGTAACGTCGGAAACCAGGATCCGTAGCCGGAAATTAAGATGAAATGAAAAAAATTCGAGAGCCTACAGTGGTCTGCTTTCACCGAAGCTGTGGCCATTAGGATTAAACTTATTGATGCGTACGATATCGGGGGGATTCGCTGTGTTGGAGAGAAACGGAACCCATACTTGCTGGTGTTCTTGGGTTAGACAGCCTTTTCCGGCATGAAACGGGAATCGTGGCATCCGACTTGGTCATTGGCGGCATTCGGCTTAATGCAGGAGGGCCATCCGACTAAGGCGGGCGGCGGGTATTTATGAGGAGTTGAATGTGTTGGAAATAGAGAAAAAGCCTCGTCACGAAGGACAGGGGAGAACGGCGGAAACCGCCTCAAGATTCATTCAACTGTAACCCCCATTATATCGGGAGTAACGATACACAACTTTTACTAAACTACCCTCAACTAATTACACTATTTCCCTACGACCTAGAACTTCCAACAGAATGTTTCTTCTTAACTTTCTTAAAACAAAAGTTGACGGCATCGTTCCGGGCATGCTTATGTGTGTGTGGACACTGAGAACCCCTCTGTCGGGCCTCCCCCTTGGTGTCCATCTCATCTCACCATGAGAGTTGTGTCCAGTGATCACCATAGCCTGGACAGAATCGACCCCACCAAGGTCGACCCTGAATATGTGCTGAAGACGCCCTCTGAGCCGCCTATCGCTGAGGAACAAGTCTTATTCCCTTGGCTTTATCCCTTCTCGTTCCTCTTCCTCAACTTCAGCTGCGGGATGGGCATCTACAGTACGTCGGAAAACGAAACGTTCCTCGGATTCATCATCAGCGACTACCTGATTTTCCTAGTGTGCTTCTTTGTCCTAAGAAGGTTGGAGGGGAATGGCGCCACAGTGAGAGATAAGCGACGCAAGGTCTCCAGTAGGTATTGCTCCGTAGCCGTGAGCGTTTACTTCTTGTTCCAGATCGCGACGGTGCTGCCCCGCACGCTCGCCACCGTCGTCTGGACGGTAGCCGGGGCGGAGTTCGCGGCGAATCGCTACAGCTTCTACATACATCTCAAGGCCCTCGGGGACTTAACCGGAGCGACGACACTTGCCGGTGCTTACCAGTTCTACGTATACGATTCACTCGCGGCCGACGCCGGCAGCTCCCCCCCGTCGTCTAAGGCCTGACCCCTCCGGCTCGTTCCCGCCTCCTTCCATACCTCGCGTGCATCCTCTCTGTCCAAGGCTTGAACCCTCCGATCTGCGAGATTGCCCTTCTGGTTGCGGTATGCTGCAACAATATCGAAGCATTGTCCTCTCCCCGCTCGGAGAGAGGAAATTGCTACGAATCTCCCTCCCCCAGGATTAGAATACGACATGCCCCAGCCAGCGAGCGGCAAAGATCAACAAACGGGACCGCCGCAAGATGCTGAGAGGACGATCAATACCACGGAGGCGAAGAACCGGCACAGGAATACTTTTAGGAAAATATAATGGAGTGAGATAAATACAAAATGAACCATACTTCTCTTCTCAATGTGCACAAGTTCAACGTGGTCAACGTCGTTTGAAGATCTCTCTTGGCGCATGCTACACGACCCATGCCCTTGGAAGAGGGTGTAAACAACCAGCCAACTCTTCAACATTTTTAGACATTCTACTGGCGAAATTAAGCGGGGGACACATGAATCAGGAAGCATGCATTCGTCCGGACAACTCCCTCTTCAGGGGTTCCAGGGGGTTCAGTTCTAACTATCGCCGTGTCCTTAGGACGTTAAATAAGTTTTATGAATTCCGCGGAATTTGTACGTACTCCGCCGTTCTGATCATGCTATGTGAGAGTTTTAAACGGCGAACACCGCATGGTACTACTGCATACGATTCGGATATCTTTCACGTCATCGTCGAGTCATCTCATCACCCTCTTATCCGAATGGGTTCTCATTCGACGACTAATGCGCTGCTTCATTGAAAGAAGCTCTCTTTCACTGACAAAAGTCAATGCGTGAGGCCCACGCTTGGCTTATAATAGTACAGTAATGATGAGAGAGTAATGGCACTTGAAAGGGGTAGTTGAAAATAGAGGCAGATGAATAGACAAGACCTATACATAATAAAACTTTACTCGAATTTCATTGTCTCTTTAAACACAATCTAGAAAAAGACCATTAATTTTGTGTCCACTGAATTAGTTGGATAGTTTTATCTAGGCGATTAAAATTAATTTAATTATAAATTATGATTTAATAGAAATTCAAATTAAGTCCATTAAACACCATAATTTAACCTTCCACATGTTCTCTTTGAGAGAGTTCTAAGTGACTATGGTTTCAAAGAATTCTGGCAGATTCAAGAGACTAATTTTTTATTCAGACATATTAAAGGATCAATCCTTGTGGATTCAAGGGCATTCGCTGATCCTTGTGGATTCAAAGATCATTTAAGCCGTCATTGTGGACTTGGACATTAGGAAAAATCATGCCATGTGGACTCAAAACCTGCTTTCTCTTTCTTCTCATACTCTGAATTCATGTCTTTTGGATTAAAAACTCAAATCTTTAGTTCTCTCTCATTCTCAATTTGTCACTTGAGATCAATATTTGAGACAATCTCCTTCTAACATTGTGCACCCCTTCTCCCTAAACTTGTGGCTGTAGCCCCAATTGGATAACACTGTGCTCCCCTTCTCCCTAAACTAGAGATCTTTTGTTATGAATGGATAAATACTTTTAGTTAGTTGCATGCTAAATCTTATCTTTTGTAGTGATGATATTATTATAGAAAGTAGGAGAAAAACCTAATTCTCTTAATGAAACATCTTCTGTACATGGAATGACATATATGTGGACATAAAAAGAGGTCATAATATATATATCCAATAATGTACGAGTCTATTTGAGTGTATTCATTGACTTATAATAATTCATTTTTTCTCTGTCAAAGTATGCAAAAATGCCAATTATTGGATTTTATGATGTAGCATAAGTTTTCTGCAGTTGAAATCTTGTCTTGGAATCCACAAGTAACATGATTTCTATGAAGACTCTTCACCATGAATCCTAAAATAAAGAAACTTCAATCCTTAATCAAATAATTTTCTTGAATCAATAGAGGAGGTGCCAAAATCCATCAATAGAGAGACGTAACCTCAGAAGAGGAACATTTTCAGAAAATTAACTCAATGCCTTTGAGCCTACAAGAGGCAACTTTTGAATGACAAAAATCAATTAGAATCCTACTGAAAATCTGTTTCTTAGAGGTCGGTATGTCAGAACTCTTGTAAGAAAGAGAAGGGTTATTTTAAAATACTCCTAAGAAAAAGGGGGGCTCTGTTAGAATCCCTCTAAGAAAAATAGTCTGCTATTTGAGAGTGCCTCTTAGGAAAATAAGGATTGTATTAAATGTCCCTTAGGAAAAAGAGGGCAGCTTTGTTTGTTCCTTCCAACTCCATGGAAGATCTCTCCCTATCTGATTAAGTGGCTAAGAAACTCCCCCTAAATGAAAGATTATTAATTTTTTGACTCAAGTTAACTATTTCTAAGATATTACAACTATTCATTAATGAGTTCAACTCCCAATAATTTTGCCTCAAAATTTTCTACTTGATTTATGACTCTAAATAGCTAAAAAATGATTAAAGAGTTCAGCTCCATTGAGTGATAATGAAATTTAATCACAAATTTTTCTGCAAAGATTAGGAAGGATTTTATCATGAGTTGTTTCCAAAAGAAGGCATTAACATAGAATGCCTCCAGAAACTTGATAAAAAGTACAATGATGAGGATTTTAGGCCTATATTTTTCTTGATGCATGGATGCTGCTTTGATTTTGTTGGGAAAAATGTGAAAAAGCTTGAATTATATCCTTTGATGTGTTGCCTTTGTGTTGTTTGACCTGCTAGGAATACCTCTGACATCCTCCTATAATTTTCCACAGAAAGAGGTCAATGAAGCTGTCAAAATTGTAGAGTGGTTAGAGGTGATCATTCTCAAAACATTATCCATTCGAGAGGTATTCAATTAATATAGCATCCTAATTCAAAAATCTCCCTCCTTTTCTATCATCTCTCATTTTAAATTCTAAAATTAGGCTGGACTTTGTATAACCCCAAATTAATCGTTGTGTCCTTTAAGGTTTAAGATATTTTTTAGCATAAACATATAAATATTATCATTAAGCACAAATAAGTATATCTATCTGCAGTTGATCTTTTCAATTTAGTCCAATAAGGAATCCATATTATGAAAGTAAAATTAATAATGCATGTCTAAATAAAGTAATGAATTGAAAGTATATCATCAAATAAAATAGAATCATGAAGCATATGTCTTGAATCAAGAACTCTATGAGAAATCATAGGCTTCAATGATATTTAACATTTAAAACCATTTCTAAAAGATATGTATTAAATTTTTAATTTTTTTGTTTCATTTACTAATATGAATTAGATCAATTAATTCAATGTGAAATATTTTTAAATTAAGGATACAATATAATGAGCTCATAATAGACTGAATAAGTTTTCATACTCATATCTTACTTCATATTTTACTCATATTTCATACTCATATTTTTCTTATGGGAGTAATGTTCATAAATGTTGATCATTTCCAGAAGTATAAAAGAATAATAGTTTTAGGAAGTAAATCTATTAATTCTATAATTCAACATAATCAGATTGTAATGACTTGAATTATTATTTTATTACTTTTTAATATTAATTTTATTTCTTAATTCATGTTGACTCAATTTGATTAATCCTTATGCAAAAAGATACATTAAACACATGTCAAGCATAACAAGAACTAAAATTTCACCTTTTTATTGATCCTATGAGTATTTGGAATTATTAAGATAGTGTGCATTTGTGCATTTAATTTTCCAAATAAAATTAGTTATCAAAAAATCATTTAGTACATTAAATATTACATGATTTCTTCTATTGTTATAAGATTTTGGGCAATGAAGGCAAAAGCCATTTTGACTATACATATTTAGTGCAAAACTATTTACTATGACCATGTAATTATTTAGTTATTTTTAAATAACTAATAATATAACATTTAGTGAAACATTATTGTAATAGTTATATCTTTTGATTTACTAATGTCAATTGATTTTGAAATTGGGGTCATTCTTGGTTTTCAAACTGTTAGAATAAGTCTAGTAGGCCCACCATGCCCATTTTGGACTTATTCTCTCTACGTCTCTATTCTTCTTCTACTATCTCTACTTTTTTCTCTCTCTCCTTCTTATTCTTTTTTATATAACCTCATGCACTCTTCTTCAATATATATAAATTTTAGGGTTTTCTCTTCCTTTTGTCATCATTGTATCAAAGCTCTAGGGTTTCTCTACCACTGCCACTTTGACTCCTCTCCTACCTTGACATCACCTATCCTCTCCTAGTGTAATCTCCTATGGTGCCACCTTATGTACCTACCTTATTCCCAGTTGACATAGCCCTAAATACCTATTGCGCCTCTTGTTGTGTGCACTTACATGCCCATCTAGTGTTTGCCCAACACTATCCTACACACTTGCCCGAGTGCTACTGTGCTTGCACACTTGATGATGCCATCTCCTACTGATGCCCCATGCACCAACTGTAGGCACCACACATGCTGCCTCTTGATGCCCCACACATTGCCTCTCAGCACCCTATGTGTCACCTCTAGCGCCCTGCACGTTGTCTTTTGGCACCCCTTGTGGCTCATGGGATGTCCCTTCCAACATTATCTCATCTTTCGCTAATCATAATCTATGAATCCAATCAGCGAATCCTCGATGTCTCAGGTGCCTCCTCTACTAATTCTTCAGCTGGTTGTCGTTCTTCCTTCGATTGGGTTGACTACTCCATGGCACTCTATCACGACACAACTCACTCGACCAACATATGACTTCAATGGACATAATTATGCATCATGGGCCTCTGAATATGAGTATTTGACATTGCACAACTTTTTTCACCACTTGTTGACTAATCCTTCTAACCTCACTGATCTATCTTTTACTTCATAGTCTTACCTCAATTCACTCATCCTTACTTGAATATTTCAGAGTATTGAGTTGAGTACTGTTGAGCCTCTCATCCAGATTCACCTTGTGCAATAATTCTAGATGATGTTAGAGAACGTGTGCCAATTGAATGAATATCAATCATATAATTGAGATTTTTGATCCACTTT